TTGACCAACGTGTTGAAGTGGAGAATCCTATTACGCTGTAGAAATATTTCAAATAGTCGCCGACTCATAGCGCAGGGCATTACATTTTCCATCGGCACGCACCATCATCCCAGCGTTCTCTGCTTCGCCGTAAAATGTTCATCACCGGGCACTGTGATGCACTTTAGAAGGGATGGGTGGCACTGTTGGGCGGCAGTGTGCGCGTCGGTGCACCGCACAGCGGTGCTCGGTGCAGCTGGGGCGGGGCTGCCCGGCGCCGCAGCATACCGGGTGGACCACCGGTGGTGGCGGTCGCGCCGAGCTGATGACCGCAATTGTTGGTGGTGGTGCAGCAGGACACAGCTTGGTGGGACGGTCCCCGGACCGGCGGACTGCACTGGGCTGGACTGGACAGCTATGCCGTCTGTCACAGTAGAGCGAAGGCAGATAGCCGTGGACTGGATCCTGGATCCAATCCACTCACTCTAATGTGGCAGGCAGCATAGCTGCACGCCGGCGGTAGCCGGGGCCCTGTTTCATTGCGCCACAGCGCGCTACGCGTAGCGGTGTATCGGGTTTCCATGGAAACATCAACAGATTCGGACGCTCGCAACGCCGAAACGTCGAGCTGAATTCGTCTCCAACGCCGCACCAATACTGTAGCGCACTGCTGCGGCGTGCCGTGAAACAGGGCCCAGGGCCCCCCGCGGGTCGACCACAAGCTGACCCATCGCTCGCCCCGCCCCACCCGGCCGCTCCACCACACGCCGGCGCGCGCGGCGCGTGCGAGCCGCCCCGGCGCACAGTGATGCAAATGGGGTTCACGAGTGGCCATAAATACCCAAAAGTCAAGTTTACCAAATCGAGTTAATTGCGATATGGCCGAGTAGGCAAATGTTTGGGGCATCTGAAATCACATGGTTTTCATGTTTTTGTCAAAACCGGCCTCGTGTATAATCGTCAGAAGTCGTGACATTTTGTAGATCGTAAAATGACGGTCAGACACTCGCAAATTCAAACGCCGCTGGTTTGCGTTCATTTCGTACAAATTGAAAAATAATGCATGGGAATGATCCCCAAAGCCTTCTGCTTCTAATGCCAGGTCACAAAAGGCCGTATCTCATTCGCTTTGGCGGTAATCTGACTATTTATCATCATGTTGCAATCGCAGTTTTTTACTAAGAAAAAAAATGCTTTCGTTTCACCTACAGCACTTAACACAGTGTGTGCCCGTTAGTCCACCATACCATAGCCTTCCCTAATCATTTCTGAGTCGCATCCTGAAAGAATTAAGGCGCTAGCACAGGGCTGACCGGCGCTACAGAGGTTTTTGTCCGGGCGCTCGGGTGCCGCAGTGGGCGCGCAGTGGGCGGGTGGGTGCCGCCGCGCGGCGTCCGGGCGGCGCGGCCGCCCGGGCCGCCCGCTGCGCCGCGGCACCCGAACGTGCCGGACGAACACTTCTGTAGCGCCGGTCAGCCCTGTGCTAGCGCCTTAATTCTTTCACGATGCGACTCAGAAATGATTAGGGAATGCTATGATATGGTGCACAAATGGGCACACACTGTGTGAAGTGCTGTAGGTGAATTGAAAGCAAATATTTTTGGTAAAAAACGGCGGTTGTAACATGATTACAAATAGTTAGCTCACCGCCAAACCAAAATAGATACGGCTTTTTATGACGTGGCATTAGAAGCAGCAGGTTTCGGGGATCATTTTCATGTATAATTTTTGCAGTTTGTATGACATGAACGCACGCTAGCGGCACTTGAATTTCAAGTACCTACCTGACAGTCATTTTACGACATCGAAAATGTCTCGACTTCTGACAATCCTACACGAGGCCGGTTTTGACAACAACATTAAAATCATACTTTTTCAGACACCCCAAACATTTGCCTGACTGATCATATTACGATTTATTCGATTAAGTGAACTTGAATTTTGGGCCTTTTTCGTATTTATGGCCATTCGTGAGCCCCATTTGCATCACTGTGCGGCGCCCTCCTCTCTGCAACTCAAGGCCGTCCGGCGCCGCTGAGCCGCCGGTCACACTGCACACTGCACGGTGCCGGCCAGTCGCGGCACGTGCGCCGGCACCGGGCCGCGCACACCGATCACCGATCACTGGTCAGTGCGTGCCGGTCGTGACTGGTAAACAGCGGCGCACCGCGACCGGCGACACAACTTGGACACGGTGCCGGCTGCTGGACAGAAGTGCTTCACCGCCAACAGGAAAATAGCCGCCGAATATCTCCTAGAATTGGTGCGGTAGCACCTTGACCCATACCGAATTCCTGGCGTACTGAGCTGACCACATCCTCAGCGCACCCACCGTGCCGCTGGTAAGGTGTCGGCCGATACGGCCCGCTGCGGGCGGCGCGGCGCCGAGCTGACGACCTTGTCTGAACTGCACGGCAGCTGCGCCGGCAGTCATCAGCTGTCCGCACCGGAATCACCTGGCGCCGGCCGGCCCACACGTGGGCAGCGCGGCGGTACGGCCACAGCGGCCGTACCCGCCGCGGCGGTACGGCCGCCACGCCGCAGCCACCGCCCGCGGCGCACGGCGCACGCAGCAGCGCCCGGCCGCCCTGTGGCGGGTCGGCGCGGCACGCGCCTGCCAGCCGCCGTTCCCACGCTCTTGTGGCAGCGCGCGGCGGTACCAGTGCCAATGAGGCGGCCCCGGAGGGCGCGGGGCCGGCCCGGTCGAGGTCGGCCGCGAACTCACGACCTTCCCGTGCCAGAAGGTCTCTCAGCCACCCGGCCCCCAGCACTGGGGTCCGCGTCTCGAACCCTGCACTGCGACACCCTGAATCGCCTGCACAGCGCACACCTGCAGCATCCGACATGGACAAGCCAGCACGCCCTACTCCACTGCTCCGCCGTCCTCCGGTACGTCAGGCCGTTCCGTCTGCCATAGCCCGGCACCACAACTCTCACTACTAACGAATAGTGTTTGTCTATTTCAAACCAACCTGCGGTTACTCCCCCTTACACAGCTTGTAAACATCAACTGCACTGTACTGCCCCCCCCCCCCATACACACCCACGCCATCCACTCTGATAAAAATCGCTGCACGTCCCGTATGGTCCACTGACCTCCGCAGTAGAGGTCTGCACCGGCCGGCTGCAGCCGCGGCTGGCTGCAGCCCCACGGCTGTGGGCCGGGGCGGCTGCAAATATCTCCAAGAACACGGCTACGGCTGTGGCCACGGCTGTGAGATTTCAAGCTCAATCTAAAGTACTCAAATATATAATTTTAAATCCTTAATCTTACATTCTGATAAGCAGTCTAGCCTGTAAAAATCATGCAAAGGATGCCCAGCAACATTGAAAGTGGTGAAGCCTTTGAAAACCTGTAATGGTTTTACCATTTGCTGTAGGGGAGTTTGCACTCTGATACAGAATGCTAATTATAGGTACCAATTGTTCCTTCATCATCAAGAGCTTGACAGTTTCAGAAAATGCAAAATGTTGCACTGTCACATCCCTCTCAAATCAATCTCACCTGGTCATTAGGAGAGCACTTTACAGCTATTGAAGGCGAGCGTTCAATAATTCTTTCAGGTAATAGAAAAAGAAATCACGCCTAGGTAAAGGCAGGTAAAGGCATCATAAAATATTATCTAAAATAACTCTTAGATGTATTTCTGGATTTTCGGCAAGTCCAATTACATAATATAAAACTGGCGCTTTATATTCTAACTGGTGTGTGAGTGACCGCTAACAGAAAATGCTGATCAATGAAGCCAATGGAATTAGATTATAAGTGAGCATGAACCTTACTTACGGTTGATTCACATGATGGTGAAAACCCTGAACACGTAATTCACATGACGGTAAAACCCTGAACACAATATTTCTTACGCGAGCTGTTGACTTTACTAATAAAATGACGTCTTCTTCTGAACATGTAAAAATTTGATAATTAATCTTTGTTTGAGAGCAAGTTTTCGACTGTATATTATTGTTATTTATTAATTATAATTTTTATGGCTGCTAATAGTGACACAAAACAATTTATTGCCACTTCTTTGCTATTGACGTCATTACAAACTGAAGTGAAATTTTTGATTGAAAGAGGCAATTGTGGCTCGGACGTCCTTGGGGAGTTGAGCGAAGATCATTATTTGGAAAAATCACGGAAAAATCAAATTAGATGAATGTTTTTCTTTCTTGGATGCTCACTAGTGTTTTGATGCCTTGCATATCAAATTAGTTTGAGACTTGCTCAGAAGGCTGCTTCAAGCCTGGCATATCACACCCCAGAAAATATGCAAGGTAAGAAAGAAGCAAGAGTTTTGACTAGACAATCACTGTTTGACAGTCCATCAACTTCAGTTTCATTTTCCATATCTAACATTGATAATGAAAAGCATCAGGGTCTGTTGTTCTGTCCCACACTCATGCTTCAGGATTTGGCATTAGATGTCTACACTGCTAGTGCTTCTATTCTGGTTCGTTGTTTATGTTTTCTGTTGATGTAGGTACCTACCTACCCATCTTTCTTAACCCCTTGCAAGGGCTTGTGTAGGCATGCAATGCGCATCAGGCTTCCGGCCTTCGGCCTAAAGCCAGATACACAACCACTTAACCTATGATGCTTCATGAGCTTGAGAATCTATAGCCCATTGCAATGTGCTTTTGGCTATATGTTTCAACTAAAAACAACATATTATATACTATTTGGTTGCATTTCATTGAAAGTATCCACGGCCGGCTGACGGCTGACTGCCCACAGTTTGCCACGGCTGTGGGCGGCTGTGGCTGTGGAGCCACGGCTGCGGGGCGGCTAGGCTGTGGAAAATTGCAGCCGTGCAGAACTCTACTCCGCAGCTCTTACCACCACAAGCAGTGATCTGTCGCGTCTCACCCCCCCCCCCCCCCATTCTGTGCTGAACAGTCACGTCCAGCGCGTCACGTCTCCTTCCCTCCCCTCCACTGACCTGCCGCAGTCCGGTACCCCTCCCCTCCCCTGCACTGACCTGACCTACCGCAGTCCGGTGCCCCTCCCCTGCACTGACCTGTCGCAGTCCGGTGACGTCGTCCACGGGCTGGCCGTCGCCGCGCACCCAGGTGACGCGCGGCGGCGGCGAGCCGCGTGCCGCGCACTCCACCACCGTGCCGGTCGAGTTGCTGAAGTCGATCTTGTTGGGCGGCTCCAGGACGAACACGGGCCCCTGCAGACCGGTGTCGGCCGCCGCTGGGGGACACGGACAGCCCGTCAGACAGGAGCTCACCGTCCGCACACCCAGTGGCCACATCACAACGGTGGTCACAGGCGCCCACCGTCCGCACACCCAGTGGTCACATCAGAACGGTGGCACACACGATTGGGCTGCTGACAGAGGTGCTTGATATGCAAATGCTTTGCAGGTGTCTTAACCATTGATGTGGTGGTGTGGTCTCGAAAAAGGGGCTAGCCTATCATTTCATCCTGTTGAGTCGTACCAGGCTCTGCTGGTGACTATATATCCGGCGGCGGACATGCAGCGATTCTGCCGCCCGCCAGGCTCCGCTTACCGAGGCCATCTGCCAAACCTCAAATGGGACCCGGAACTCGAACACCGCGACTGATGAAGTCACAATGTACGCGCGGCCGGGCGGGGATCACCTGTAATTGGCTGCGTTTATGTACAGGTGCTGCACACACCGCTGACGGCACGTGGCCACGCCTCATTGCACGGGCACCTTGGCAGGGCGCCCGCAGCCTGCGGCCGGGCCCAGCAGCCGGGACAGCCCACCGCCCAGTCACAGACTGTGAGTGCCAGCTGCCGGGACAGCTCAGTCAGCCACAGACTGTTAGTGCCAGCTGCCGGGACAGCCCAGTCACAGACTGTTAGTACCAGCTGCCGGGACAGCCCAGCCACAGACTGTTAGTACCAGCTGCCGGGACAGCCCAGCCACAGACTGTTAGTACCAGCTGCCGGGACAGCCCAGTCACAGACTGTTAGTACCAGCTGCCGGGACAGCCCAGCCACAGACTGTTAGTACCAGCTGCCGGGACAGCCCAGTCACAGCCTGTGAGTGCCAGCTGCCGGGACAGCCCAGCCACAGACTGTTAGTACCAGCTGCCGGGACAGCCCAGCCACAGACTGTTAGTACCAGCTGCCGGGACAGCCCAGTCACAGCCTGTGAGTGCCAGCTGCCGGGACAGCCCAGCCACAGACTGTCAGTACCAGCTGCTGGGACAGCCCAGCCACAGTCTGTCCGTACCAGCTGCCGGGACAGCCCAGTCAGCCACAGACTGTCAGTACCAGCTGCCGGGACAGCCCAGTCACAGACTCTCAGTACCAGCAGCCGGGACAGCCCAGTCAGCCACAGACTGTCAGTACCAGCTGCTTACGCAATTCCAATCTGTAAGAAAAAAAAAACATCGCACCGCAAGTCTGTGGCCGAACCATCGGAGAAGCCACCGCGCGCCGTATGCGTGCGGTTCTCCGTGCCGGCGATAAGGTTCTCCGTGCCGGCGATAAGGTTCTCCGTGCCGGCGATAAGGTTCTCCGTGCCGGCGATAAGGTTCTCCGTGACTGCAATAAGGTTCTCCGTGCCGGCGATAAGGTTCTCCGTGCCGGCGATAAGGTTCTCCGTGCCGCCGATAAAGTTTTCCATGCCGGCGGTGCGGCGCTGAGACTGTGCTGCGGTGGCGGCGCGCCTCAGGTCGTGTGGAGGGCCCCCGGCGGGCCAGGAAGCCGCGCCGGCGACCCTGCGGCCGCGGCACTCTCGCTTCTGCCGCAGCGCGGCGACCCCGCGGCACTGCGTCGGCCGCGCGTGGGACTGCGCCGGGAGAGAGACGGTCGGCGGACGGGGGCGGCCCTGACCCTGACCCGGGACGGTACGAGTACAGCACCCAGCCCCCAGCCGCCACGGGGGGCTGATCGGGGGGTCGTGAGGGCCACCCAGGCCGGCGGGACTTGGAAAGCAACGCATGCACCACGACTCATGAATTAGAGTCTTGGTAGCACTGAATGCCTCGAGTCATAAAAGGAATCGTTTACGACTCTACGACAATTACTCCAGATGTGGCGTAATTGACGCCAACACCATTTCACTAAGCTGAAGACGTTTGCAATTCAGGGTATCAACAAAACCACGGTAGCTTATGTAGCGGGCACATGACGTGTAGAATATGAAATGTGCATGGATATGGGATAAGTTCACATGGATCTCGATCTATGCCCCTATGGGATCACAGCTAGGTAGCCACAGCTCATTCACTTTGTTTTCGTATTAAATGGATCCACAGATCTCGCCATGATCAATGTCGGGACACAACAATTATATTTTGATTGATAATAAAAACATTTAAATCCGCAAAGTCTCCCCTACAAAAATTTGTGCCGACAATTCGCAATTCACAGTTGCGTGGAGTTAATTCTGGTGGGTTGTCTAAGTAGGTAAGCGTAATATTCAACAGACTGTATGCTGTGAAATTCACGCGGATCACAAATCCGTAAGCCAAGCCCACGACATTGTAGATTAAATAAAGGCAGATGTTCCGTGGATCCAATGGAATCATAGATCCAGATCTGCACTTTTACCGTCAGATCCACTGAAATCACGGATGTAACACTCAGCTTGATGCACAACGGACCTGGTGGCGATGCCTACATTACGGATATTAGATGCATGCGAGGCTATTACTTGACCTGCAGAGCACTGGCCTTGAGTGCCTTTGCAATAACGTGTGAGAAGTAGGCCGGCCATCCCTCACAGCTCGCCGGCATCACTCAATCGCTGCCTGTCGGCGCCCAAACAGCGCGCACATCGCCGGCCGGCCCGTCAAACAGCACGGGGACAGGATGGAGGGGCAGACAGGATGGAGGGGCAGACAGGATAGAGGGGCAGCCCGTCTTCCACCGCTGTCTCCCCAGCCAGCAGCGGCGCTTGCTCCGACGCCATGGCGTTCTTCAAAGTTGGCCACAACGCCCACTGCAGGTGGCTCCAACCGACCCACGCCGTCAGACGCGCACTGGATGGCTCAATCCGACCAGCGACACCCACTGGGGGGTGGCTAAATCCGACAAGCGACATCCACTGGGGGTGGCTCAACAGCACAGATATGAGCCCCGCTGCAGTCGCGGAGCACCTTTTTCAGTGTAGCGAGGCTGCGGTGAATGAGTCACATGATCACTGATTGACCGGGCCAGTGAAATGTTCAGGATCGGCGTTGTAGTCTCACAAAGAGGGTGAACAAATCCAGCCTGATGCCTTTCGAGCCATACAGGGTGTAGCGAAATTATCCGCACATCTTTGGCTTCCCGCTGTAATTAAAAAGCAAAACAACCTGGTGCTTTTACTTTTAAATGACAAAGTAGCCACCTTTCATGAGAACACAGTGACGAATGCTGTGAAGCATTCCAGCCACTGGGTCCTCCAGCACACTGGCTTTGATGCGGACCAACGCCGTCTTGACCTATGACTTCAGCTGGGCGGTGCTTGTGGCGGATATGTCTTCAGACATCTGCTGGACAAGAGCACACAGGTTTCAATTGGATTGGGATCGGGACTTTTTCCGAGCCATAGGTCATTAGCCCAGAATTATTGGGAGTTCCATCGGCATCACTTCTCGTTCTTTTAGAGGCTTTGAGGTGGCGCGCCGCCCCACCTGAAGACGGCGTGGCCTAAATCAGGCATCAATGCGCGTTCAGAAGCCGAGCTCTCCTGTGCCGTCTGGTTGAGCGTCTCCAACCACTCGTTGGCCAGGATGGTGCTCCGGTAATACTTGACGTTGGTAGTGGTATTCTGTGACACTATGTCCAACTGGAACACCGCAAAGCAGCTGAACATGCTCCAGATCTGGATCTTGGCCGGATGTCTGACGCTGTTGACGGCCGGCACGTTCGAGCTGCTGGCCGCCCACACACGGCCCATTGGACGGTTCAAAGGATGATATACCTCGGACGGCGACCCATCCGACCAGACCACCTCACCGTGTCCTCTTCCGACCAGTGAACGTGCACTGGTGTTTTGCTATCGTTTTCGGTTTGAATGGCAGCAGAAACAGGTTGCAGCGCGGTGTGACGGATCATGGTGTATGATCCCTTAATGCCTGCCTTGGTAAGCATTCGAGTCAGTTTGCAGTTGATTGGTGTCGTTTCGTAGTCACAATCTTGGATAACTCTCCACACCACTTGACAAGGGCGGTTTGTGCGGTCGCGGCCGGGAGGAGTCTACCACCCAAGTCTCAGCTTATAACGCCTCAGGCAGGTGTGTAAGTGGTTGCTGCTGATATCCAGCTGTTGGCAGACCATCTTCTAGCTCATGCCGCCATGCAATTTTGCTACGCCAGGAGAGACTTTACTCCTTTCTCGTCTGGGACGAAAACTACGAAGTGAACACGGCGGTGACTCGACCCTAACTGAGAGCAAGAGTCACCTCGCAAGGTCAAGCCACTTCTGAATGGAGAACTGATAACGCAGCCAAGATTCTGAGTTCTGACCGTAGGTATTCATCCGATTTTCCCGTTTCTAACATCAGAAAAGAAACTGTGAGAGCAGATATGGCGAACAAATAGGTGTCCAGACAATATTGCTACACCCTGTAGATGACTGTTGGGGACAGAAAAGACGAACACGCCAAATGTAATGAGATGATGTTTTTCGTACTCCAGCGTAACGCTCTCAGTCCCAGCGGATAAAAACAACACCTAAGAACGCCAAATGTAACCGTTTGTCGTCTGAAAGTCAGAACATCAAGCTGGCACACTGAATATACGTCGCATATACATAACAGTGAGGTGCGGTAGAGCGGAGCCCACAGGGTGGAGCCATGCGTGTGCTGGAGGGCGCGCTCACAGAAGCAGCGGACGGTAGCCGAAGGCGGCACCTCGGACTGCCAGTCGCGCTGCCAGTCTGCCAGCCGCGCTGGCGCTGCTAGTCTGCCAGTCGCGCTGCCAGTCTGCCAGCCGCGCTGCCAGGCTGCCAGTCTGCCCGGCCGACCCAGGGCAGTGGTTGAGGTGCACTCCACGACGGACGGGTACAGAGTCACAGACTGCAGACACCCTGACGCACCTCCGTCGCGCCGACCGTTCCGAGTTCGGACGGCCGCAGGCTACAAAACGGTCTTACTCCGTCCAACTCTGGCCTCTGTAGGCTCTAAAACATGCACCGAGCTCGCCTGGCAGCATCATACGGTTTGTGTATGAGCAGTATGGAATGAGGCAATACCTACTTTAAATTAGATGAAACATTGTAGCTTTATTATAATACCTAAAGCGACTCAATAAAATTGAATTAAAGATGCAGATGAAACAGGATAATAGGATTCACACAAAAGCTCATGTTTCAGAGGACCATTTGGACATATAAGGGCCAACAGGCACGATCAGGTGGGCAAGCTTCATGTCAGCGAGTACCTACGACTCCAATGTTGAATTGAGTCAATGCCAAGGGGCGGCATTACCACTAACTGCAGCTGCTGCATGCAGGCGCGTAACCACCACTGGGGACACTGGGGACCGGTCCCCAGTAACTTTTGGGTTACTGGGGACCGTCCCCAGTAAAACTGACCACCTCAATTTGCTTACATGGCGAAATATTGTCTCTAAATCGACGTGAAGAGTAATATGTAGTCAACGTAAGACAAAACTATGGATGTTTTGTTTAACCAGCGCCCGGGTGGGCCTCTCAGCCAACTTTGCCATGGTGGGGAAGTTTTTTTTTTGGCCAACCAGGTTATCTCGGAAAGTAAGCAAGCTAGAAAGACGAGGTAAAAAGCAACAGATAGCTCGCTACAGTACTCGTATCTTTCAGAATTACCTACATCATATTTTGAGCAGGTCATCGCTGAGGTCTTTGCAGGTCACCAAATGTAAAATTTTCACGAAATGTTGTTCCCAATTTTGACAACTTTACATAAATCGGCGCATAAGTCAGGAACCAATAGAGCTGCAATGCTGCGGGAAAGCGCATTCGATAGCGCTTTCAAAGGCCTTCCTGAGTAATGTTCTCAGGTTTGTCCTAAGGTCAACGTTTTAGCTTCCAGGCCGGCGTTTTTGCGGAAAAGGTTTTTGCATCATACACTTTGTATGACGCTGATTTTACCGGCATCGCGTTTGTCTCGTCGAGACGCGTCGAATGAACTGAAAAGGTCAACTTTAAAATTTAACCCCTGGCCCAGGTTACGGAAAAAGGTTATGTTGCATGTCATTTGATTGGTATTGTTGAGCTTAACACATTCATGATGTTTTCAGCGCCCTAGCATGTTTCTACCTAAAATTGTGGTAAAAAAAAACTGTTGGAGATGTTTCATGACCTAAGATGAGCTGAGGGGCATAGAGGGGTCACAGGTGCAATTTTCCGGTTCAGTGTGTCATGTTTACCTGTGTCACGGTGTATGAATGTGTTTTCGGCCAAAAGAAGAGCATTTTAAGTTTCTCCCAATGACCTATAATGTAGAGGTCGTAAAATTGACCTGACATTAGGTCACCGATGTGAAAACTTTGAGATACGTATACGAATTTTTCATACTGATGTCCTCAAGTAAAAGCTCGAGTTTCAAACTTCTGGGATGTTAACTATAGGAATGACATAGTCACAAAGTTTTTAGAGGCATGATTACTTTACTTGCCCTGGTGACCTGACCTTAGGTGACCTGGGGTCAAAATCTTCACACACGATGCGAAATTGAGGTATCATAAGCCATACCAAGTTTCATGGCGGTGCGCGCCGAGGTTTTCCTTAAACGCGCAAAAAAAGCTGGCAGGTGTGGCCAAAAAACGCCCCCCACCTCCCCCCCCCCCCCCACACACACACACTCAGGCGAAGGCTGATCCTGAAATATCATATTTGGTCTTGGCGGCCCTCCATGTGGTCCCCAGTAACTTCAGACTCGTGGTTACGCGCCTGGCTGCATGGCAAGATGGCAGTCATATAGGTAGGTACCCCTAATGCCTTACCTCAACTTCCCTTAGTGCTTAGTGCACGATATGCAAATACAATAAAGCCTGGGCGTTCCCCTCTCAACCAGCTCAGATGTTCCGTCCTGATTCTACTCAGTCACTGTCAGGTACAGCCCACCGCTAAAGTAATGTGCGGTGTTGCCAATATCAACGGATGCTTTTGACTGGCGATTTTTTAATGCGGAGTGATCGAAAAGAAGATCGAAAAGAAGTCAATAGATAAAATTGCAGCTGCAAGGGTGACGATGCATGTAAGCTACATTCAAGGTTTCATTTTACTATGGTTTATCGTTCCTAAGCTTCAGAAGCAGAACATACCCATGACTGAAATTGCACATTACTTCTGCTGTGGGCTGTGCCGAGTACTGTTGCAGAGCCCAGGGCCCCAGTGGGCATCTAGATGGGCTTTGAAGATGTTCAGTGAATGACAGCCTACAACCACAGTCCCAACTTTCAATCAGTAAAGCTGATACCTTACTAAAAATGAACATACTCGTTAGGCATGGGTGCATGACTGCTATCGCATGACTTAACCTTTTAACATTGTTGTTTTTGGAAAAATAACATTATCTTTAAAAGGTACATATCTCCCACAAGTCAATGACTCAAACGAGAATGAAAGGATATAGATTTTCTGTTACTATGTGTTATGACATACATCATACAACTTATCAAGCCAGCAATATCTTTGAACTTACACTTATACAATATGCAATCAATGTCATAAATGTCACATGCATCCTGATTCAACCACACCTGCTAGGGATCGGAATACCGGAATACCTAGTCCTAATCCATGCCACATTGACATGGGCCCATGGCGAGGCATCGCATACGCTCCTCACCCTGTCTTCTAATTACATTTACTTATTATTTACTAATACATCATCAAATGTATCTCAAGACTACTGAACATTTGAACAAAAAATTGCAATCTGCATTTTCTTTTTCAATAACAAAATAGCGGGGCAGAAGGGCAGGTACTCACCAAAGAAGAATAGGCAAAGCAGCCCCAGCAGGGGCCACTCCAGAGAGGTTTGTCCCATAGTGTGGGACCCCACTGACGCTTCACTTACAGATGCTTGAGCTTCAAACGAAAATAAAACACAGATTATCACAATCACAGACTGAAACCGAAACGCTGATGCTACACCAACACCCAAAACGATAACGGGAGCGTGCACACACCAAGCCGATTGAAAAAGCGCCACCAGAGTGAGAATTCAATATTTTCACGAATGTTCTAAGAAGTTAAGCACTAGCACACCCCCACTCACCAAAACTCGAGTTTTGGTACCCACAGAGTCGGCACAACACCTCGCGCGTACCTCCGCGCACCCCAAACTCAAGTGAACTCTCGTAAAGGCATAAAGAAGACGCCGTTGTCTGGTAAAGAGATGGGAATGTAAACAAATACCTCAAACATTTTCCAGAAGTATCAATTTAATTGATGTTTGAAGTATCTGTAAATCCGGGTACACATGCTGTAAAATGCATTTATTGCATAATTCTGAGGGTCAGAAACTGTATATCTATGGTCAGAAATGAAATTGATGACAAAAAAATGAAAAACAATGTTTGATAGGATGTAACAAATGTAAATTTTGTAATCAATTTAACTTATTTTGGTGTGAGTGAGATTTTTCGAAATACTTTGTGAAAAGTAATATACTTAAAAACGGTTATTGGTATTTCTTGATATAAATATTTCCCGAGTACCTATGTGGTACTGGTGGTACTTTTGTCCCCTGAATTACGCCAGTATTGCCTCTGCTGCGCCAGTGAATTCCTTTACTTTATACTGTTCGATCGCAATTTCATTGCCAGTTCGCTGCGAGCTCGCTGGCATTTAGTGACTTTTCATTGGTGGAATTCATATGAGTTGTGCTATTGACAAATGAGATGCCGAGAAGTGTTATTATTGGTAGCAAAAAAAGTAAAGACCGAACAGAACTTTTATTTTATAAATTTACACGGAAAAGCAAGAACACTAACGACACTAACCAAAACAGTACATATTGCCTTGGCCTTGGGTGGTATTGATAAAAGATTTAATTCGCCCGAGGACGTATTTACTATGGCACAAAAGGTTCAGATTTTGCACAAATAACGTGCTTCAACTCTTGGCGCGAATTGTTCTGAAAATTTGGCGCAAAATCGCTTGCTCCGCCTCCGAGTTTCGAGTCCCTTAGCCGTCATACGTTGACGTTGCCATTATAGAGTTCAGTGGACGATGCATATGAATTTTTCCAGTCTGGTAGAAGTTGATGAAAATTATATACTTTTTGACCGCAAAGAAAACAGCATTTTTGACTTGTATGCCTTGTTGATATCTGATCTGACTTTTAAGGCGGAGCCAGAGCCCAAAATGTGAACAAATCAAATATCAATAATTTTTACTTTGACCTGACCTGTGACGTCATCGGTGACCTCGAGGTCAATGAAATTAGGTTTCGTTCGACAGTTTTTCGGGGTCTATCAGATGCCGTTTGAATTTTGACGATCGGCCCAGTAGTTTCAGAGTTAGGAGGGGGGCTATGAAATATAGCCCCTCCCCCCCTCCCCCAGTAGGGCGTGTTATACACAGACCCCAGTGGGGCGCAGGTTAATGAACTCACTTCTTTCAGCCTGTACCCACTAAATGAAGTCAAAACGACATTGGATGGTACTTTCTGAGGTAAGAAGGAGTTAGCCAGGGCTGACACTTTCTCTGAATAGCACCACCTTCACCCCAACTAGGGATACCTCCCAGCTTTGAGAGTTCTGGAACACTGGATCAACTCAGTGATCAGCTGTGGTACCTATGACAGTGGCTGACTCGTAGGTGCTCTGAGGTGATGACCATGGCTGCAATGCCTCGTGTCCATCTGTGGCTAGTGACTATGGAGGTTATCAAGTTGTCCACTCCTTAAAGTCCTTTGTGGCTGCTCTGTCCCTCTAGCCCGCCGGCGGTGACTGTGTGCCCTGTGCCCGCCAGTGGTGGCCGTGTGCCCTGTGTCCGGGCCGTTGGGCCGGCGGTGACCGTGTGTCCTGAGCCTGCAGTGACCGTGTGTCCTGAGCCTGTAGTGACTGTGTGCCCTGTGCCCGCCGGCGGTGACCGTGTGCCCTGAGCCTGTAGTTACCGTGTGCCCTGTGCCCGCCGGCAGGCGCTGCGCCGCCGCGAGGCGCCGGTCGGCAGCCGCTCTGTGGTACGCCAGTTCCAGAGCCTGGGCGTGTTCGACGTGAGCGGCGCCGACGCCGACGCCGACGGGCCGTGGATGACGTACCGGCTGCCGGGCGGCGCCGGGCCGGGCCTGCAGATCAGGTGGGCGGCCCGCCTCCCCTGGCCGGCGTCTGTCTGGGCACTAATCGGCTGCCGCTGCGGGTGTAACGCTGCGCTGGGCGCCCGGTCTCGGCGGGCGGGTGTGGCTGGCTGCTAACTCGCTCTCCGCGCGCGCTCTGTCCGCCTCTCTGCCGCCGTGCCGTCCCGGCGTCACACCCGGCGTGACCCTGTTTCAGACACGTTGAGCGCCGGCTCAGTGCCTCCGACCTGGTCGGCTTTAACAACACGGGAAACGTGTGTAAGTAGCGACGGCCGCGCAGTAAGTCGTCCAGACTGTCACACCGCACGGCCAGGCGGCTGCCGACTTCATATGTGTACGGCGCATCCAACAGTAATCAGCGGCCATTTTCAGCTGGCATGTCCCGAGCGGCGCCGACTTTTGGCTCATTCTGCAGCCTTCTCGATTTGTCCCCTACATGGTATATACGCGCGATATCTGCACTGCTTGCTGCTTTCGCAGAGTCAAGTCGCTCGTGGTCAAGTACCAATGTGCATCATTGCTTCACTTCATTAAATGAGTATTGTTAAATGTTTTAAAATGCTGATGGCTACAAGTTTTACGCACGTATTCTTTTATGTTTTTGCTTTTTTCTGAGCAGTGATCAATAAGTGTCAATGCGCTTGCGTAGCACAGCATAGATATGCTTTCTTGCGGACCAAAGGATGATCAATTTAATATTATTGATGAAGTTTCTGCGCTGTATGTATCTCCGTTCGTCTTAGCACACACTCGCGTATACACAAGCACGCTGACTCCCCGCCGAGCCGGTCTGAATGCTGCCGATGGTTGAGGCAGTGGCTCAGATTTTTGTATTGTTAGTCGCTTGCCGTCAACAACCACCGTGTTTTACTAGTAGTCTATCAGGCAGAGACCGTAAGCGATTTCCGAAAATGATATTACATGATCCAGACCCACGGCAGCCCGCACACACTGTATTCCACGTCACGTAACTACTTTTTTAACTCGATATTTTATGCAGGGACTCTAGCTACATGTAACGATACGCGGACATGTTCGTCTTTCTGCTCGGCAGTCCTACAGAGCGGCTTCCTTTTCGCATGAACATACGACGCAGCTTCTGCTTGGGCCGGATCGCTTTGCTTGTGAATGGACGTGTGCATGCCTTTTGTTTTTGTTACCTCTTCCATGCCCAAGGGCGCCATGGATGGGGAGGAAAAACATCGCTAGAGAATGGCCTTCGTGGCTGGGAGACCGTTGTCAGCCCCCTTCGATGGAGCTTTGATCTGCTCTCACTGAGCAGGCAGCCAAAAAGAGGAGCAGGTGAGCCTCCTGCTGATGGAACTGATTCTCCACGCAGCCAACTGGACGCTGACTGCGTTCGAGGAAAAGGCGCAGACTCAAGGTCGTCAACAACGGGGGAAGCGCGTGGATGCAGAATCACCGTTGGTACCTCACATTGAGTGAAAGAAACTGAACTGTCTGCTGCTCCTGGTCACAAAATACCGCAAGGAGTTTCCTATCCCACGAAGGCCATTCTCAGGCGATATGAGTAGAAATCTCAGCCTCTCAGATTCCACTTCCCGTTCGTCTAAGCCCTTCAGCCCGAGGCGGAAGCTCCAATGGGTAAGTGCTCTTCTGGATAATATTGCTAATTACCTATGTTACCGAGGGCAATGTCCACCAGCCAGAGAGTGAGGATTGATGCAGTGACTGACTGCGGCCAAAAACTGTTTTCGCACGCCAACTAGCTGGATAGAAGATGATGATCGGTACGGTAACGAGTTAAATGTCTTTATTACCTGTGTGAGGAATGTCATCGGCGACCGGTCCAGTTCTTTTTTTCACTATCAATGTTATTTTTCTCAGATCTGTTCAGTTGTGTATTTGACACGATATCATGAGAGTTGCAACGTGCGTGAGCATTCGTACCGATCTACGCAGTTTTTTTCCAACATAAACATGTTGCTTGGTCAGTGGTTAGTAGCGAAAAAATCGACTTTTTGCGACACCTCTAAGCATTATTAAAAATGGCTTATTTTTATGGAAGCACTCACAATGACCAATGAAATAAGTACGAAGAGAGGGAGAGAGAGAGAGAGCGCAACTTAAAAATTGACCTCTCTACTGTGTATAGGTAGTGCGCATGACGCTGTGTATGCCTATTGTGCAATGTATCGTGTGATGTGTATTGTGTAATGTGTATGTCGCTGTGTATGTGTATTGTGTATGTCTATTGTGTACACCGCTGTGTATGTGTATGTGTGCTGTGTACGCAGCTGTGTATGTGTATTGTGTGCGCCGCTGCTGGCAGGCGTGTGGCCCTCGAGGAGGTACTGACGGTGCTCTGTATGTGTATTGTATTGTGTATGTGTATTGTGTATAGTGTGTATGTGTATTGTGTATGTGTATTGTGTGCGCCGCTGCTGGCAGGCGTGTGGCCCTCGGAGGAGGTACTGACGGTGCTCTGTATGTGTATGTGTATTGTGTATGTGTGTTGTGTATGTGTATTGTGTATGTGTATTGTGTGCGCCGCTGCTGGCAGGCGTGTGGCCCTCGGAGGAGGTACTGACGGTGCTCTGTATGTGTATGTGTATGTGTATTGTGTATGTGTATTGTGTGCGCCGCTGCTGGCAGGCGTGTGGCCCTCGGAGGAGGTACTGACGGTGCTCTGTATGTGTATGTGTATTGTGTATGTGTATGTGTATTGTGTATTGTGTGCGCCGCTGCTGGCAGGCGTGTGGCCCTCGGAGGAGGTACTGACGGTGCTCTGCGCCGCCCGCCCGCACCTCTTCGACGACAAACTGGTGCTGGAGGTGGGCGGCGGCATGACGTGCCTGGCCGGCCTGACGGTGAGCTACGGAAAGGGGAGGGGCGGCATGATCTGTGTCTCTGTCCGACATCAGGGTCAGCCCTTTCACCATACATGGCCGAGTGGTGGAACCATAACTGAGCTTTATCTAACTTATTCAGCGGTCGGAGCATGAACTGCCAAAATGTGAATAATTTTAATTTTGGCCCGGTCTGTGACATCATGACATCGGCAAAATTGTCTTCTTTCAA